GTCAGTTAGCATTTACATAGCCTTGTGCGTGTTATAACAACCATGACATCACGAAAGATTGATACCGCAAGATCTGCCAGGTTCGCAGTCTTGCTAGCAGGAACCTCATCCCATTGGCTTCCTTACTACGTTTTTTTACGGGACAGACCAACCTTCACATCTCGCTATATGAGCCTTTCAAAGACTTTTGATAGCATTTGCGCCGAAAATGCAGCAACGATGAGTGTCGCATCAATGCGGAAATCAACAGGCAAGGAGTCCACCTTATCCCTGCACAACTAACCACCTCTACCATGACTTCAGATGGGCTGGCTTTACCGACGTAAAATCGGCTTCTAAGCGGGTATGCAATGATATTTGTCATTGGGAGCACAAAGTGCAAGAGCAGAGAACGCAATTTCCACACGTCTCGCTATTGGCTAATTGCCAACCCGGCTACCGTACCCTTTCAATGTGTCATTCCATGAATAACATACCTGCGCCTTGCTGAGGCTCATTGCTATGTTGTTTGGAGCTTGACCTCCGAATGCCAGTATCACTCCTTTCGGCTTTTCCATATGATAGATATCAATTACTGTTTCGAATGAGATTTCTTCAAAATATAGCCGATCACACATATCATAATCCGTGGATACCTATAACATCTGACGCGTATAGACATAGACATCGATTCGAAAGAACATTTTTGAGTATTTCACCAACCGTCTCTGGATTGCAATTGATGGTGATGGTTTGATAACCTAGTGCTTTCAACTCCCTGACACAGCCCACGCAAGAAGCGTCAAACTCAACTGACGATCCGATACGGTACACACCTGACCCTAGTACTATAACTGCATTCTTCTGAAACGTTTGATCAATAATTAATACAACAATGAAACCAAATTTAGTCTATGGAATTGAAAGTCACCATATTGAACTGCACGTCATTCTCTGACCCATTGTAGGTGACGTAGAGATAATTAGTCTGTGCAGGCCATTCGCCCGCTACCGTATCAATCTGCTTCACCCATGGTGTCACATTTAAGCGCACACGTCTTTCGCGGACCATGGATTCTGTGCTAAATATGATGAGTTCAAACTAGGTTAGAACTGGAACTTGGATCGCCGAGTCAACTATAACCATTTAAAAAGCACATTACTGAGAAAACAACATTTGTATCTAACAGACCTATCAATCATTTTAGCAATTTGCCGATCCGAGAATCCAGCTTGCTTCGCCTCGAGAAGGAGTTCCACAGATAAAGACGATAACTGAATTCCCAACAATTTAGTGAACAACTGACTTGAATAAATGCAAATATACTGTCACCTACCGATTCTTTCTGCAGCTTATGATGTATTTCCACAATATTATGCATTCTATACAGGAACCATTTATCAATGTGCGTCAGTTCGTAGACTTTATCGACATCGAAATCGCCATAGAACATACCACGGGCGATTGCAAACATGCGCTTGTCTGTAGGATTCGAGAGGTCCTAAAACCGCACCTTTCCAGAAAAAGTACGTGAAACTTCTCATCGCAAAGTTGAAGCCAGTCATGTAAGAGATAGCCTTTAATGCTACCAGGAGTCCAGTTGTGTTCGGAAACCCCGGACTGTGAAAGATGACCTGAGTGTAGAGGACATCAACCATTATATATGGAGATGATTCTAAATCTGAGCCTCAGTGCCTAAAATAATAAATGTGAAATGGCAATATTTGAAACTTGTTCCTCCCATATTTGAATAAGGTCTAGCAAGGCCTAAAGTTAGTGTTATGCCATCAGTAATTGGTAAGTAACCATTCAACTGATATCAATCGACATCCACGCTACATTCTTTATCCAATGATCACGCCTGCTTAGCCATACCAATCAAGAAACTAAAGCTACCAATGTTTTAGTTGTAGCGGTAAGGTATGTGAACTAGTGGTTCAGGTTGGAAATAAATAAAAAAGGTTTATTCTTTCTCATAGTGGCCAGTCCCCTGCGTCTTACCTTATTGGTGTTCGAATATACAGTAGCGGTCAAAGTGTTCGCCTGAGCGGGTTTTTTATGCGCAGCAAGTGTTGAACAGTGAATCAAGATGTCTTCCAAGTGCTTTGAATTCTTAGAACTCAGAGATCCAAAAAACATGATAGCAGACAGGAGCACTATTCTAAGTGTGGAGGGGGAGACAGTGAATTATAAGGCAAGGCAAAACAAAGCTTGGACAAATCGTTTCGGCGAGGACTTGACCGCAACAGCATATCTGATCTTACCTGCTAGAAGGGAGCGTACGCCTTGAACCTCAAAGTTTCGTGACAAAGAAGATTTTCCAGTCTCTGGATACACATCTATGGAAAATTAAACCGACCAAATGCCGTGGCACCCATTATGTCAGTTGGAATAAAAGTTCTCAGGAAGGCATTTGGCCGAGAATACCGTCCGCATGAGCGTCTGACCATGCAATTGAGGAGCGCTGGTATTCTGGAACTAGCGTCTTTTTGTATCGGAAACGTGTGATATCCATATAACGACCTACCGATCCCCATCACCTCGCCGACGGACTTCATTGAGCTGCCGATCTGGGTGAAATATCATAACTTCCCGGTAATAAAAAGAAATAAAAATTGAGGAAGGCTACCTGTTGGCTCACTCGAGCAAACTTGCCGAGGTCCCAACGAGGGATTTTCACTACGCAGTAGTCTAGCGACGGCTCAAAACATGCCGTTGTGGTACCTAGAATAATAAGAGTAACCACTCTGAAGTTATTACTTTCTTAGAGATCACAGGAAAGGAAATTTCAAAACATGTTCCCTGTCAGAGATTCAACAATAATGCTCAGACCATCTCTTTCAGCCGACTTCCGCTGGTTTTTCTAATCTCCATCAAATCTGCTCACCTGTCACACTATTCCTTATGACTGGAAGTTTTTGACCCAACGCCAACTTAGCTGCCACATATGCAAGCGGATATCCGGTCGCTTTAGAGGCTAATGCAGACGAACGAGAAAGTCTAGCATTCACCTCGATGATGTAGTACTGAAAGGCGGTCAGAAGTCATGTTATATTTGAACAGATGCAGTTGTTTTTGAGGATCAAAAAACATACCGTCAGCGAGGATGGATCCAAGGCATACTGTATATTACACTCTCCAATTATTCCTAGGTGTCGAATCACTTTGATTGCGCATGTTCGTAACATGTTGTACTCTTTGTCGGACAGTGTTTGAGATGGTGCAACCTGAAATTATGACGATAACACAGTAATTTTTAATGCTGCACAATCTGTAATTGTTTTCATTCAATTCCTCGATTTCAAATTGAAGCCGAATACGTGGCACACTCCAACAACCGTCGTCATTCGATATTTATTTTAGGCCATCCTAATTGAATATTATAACAAAATTATAGTTCCAAAAACCTCACCACAACAGATTCTCCTGTGTGAATACCCAAAGGATCGATATTTTCCATGTTACATACAGTAACGCAGTTATCGTATGCATCACGAACAACTTCATATTCGATCTGAGATGAAGATGCTTGTCGATACTAATAGACGCTTCCAAAATAATTAAATTCAAGAAACGAACCTCCTTCCATCCCTTGAGACTCTTATCGATTAGCACTTGATCTGAATGTGCAAGTGCCTGTTGAGCGATCGCCACAAGCTCAGCGCGATTTGTTGCAAAACCTGAACCGAGCCCGCCCAAAGCGTAAGCAGCTCGAACCAGCACTGGATATCCAATCTGTAACACTTCAGTTGGCATCGGCGAGACAACTGGTAATAAATAGCTTCAACATACCTTTTCAGCTGCCTCTACAGCGCCATCTAAAGTGGTTGCGGCATGACTCGGTGCCACCTGCTCACCAATGCTTCTCACTTCCATGTTGAATCTCTCACGATCTTCCGTGTTCATGATGGTCTGGATT